TAAAGGCAAGTAGCATTATGACTGTAACAATCTGCAAAATATCAGAGGATCATAGATTTGGAGCTAGAGGAACTTTAGAGCTTATTCATTCCAACCCTATCATTTTACAAATGAGGAAACTGGGGGCTAGAGATGTTAAGTGACTTGCCTAGGATTGCACAGGTAATAATTAGCAGAGATTGGATTTGAACCAACCAGGTTCTCTGATTCCAAATCCAGTGTTTTGTTTTGTTTTTTTTCCTACTGCACTACAAAATATAAAGTAGTTTTGGCCACTGTGAAGGCTAGAAAAAATAGGCAAGATTTTTACCCCCTAAGTGTGAAGATAAAAAGACTCCTTTTGAAAATGCCTCCTAACATTTTCAAGGAACTTTAGAACTCCTTCAAGAAACAATTGAGCTATTTCCCCCAGTGTGTTCAATACCAGATAGAGTTTGGGAGTAAGAAAATTCTCAAAAAGTGCAACTAGCTCATATTAATTGCCCAGTTAGAATTTGTCAAGAAAATAATTTTTGTTTCTCTTTGTGGTGGTTTTTTTTTTTTGAGAACCCTCTATCAGGCCACCACTTTTTCCCAACCAAATGCTTGTTTCAGTGAGCAAGTCTGTAAAAAAAGTTTGATATTTCTTGTCTTAATTGCTGCAACAGTGAATACTGATAAAATACAATACAATGTCACATATTACAACAAATATAAATCTTAAAGCTTTTTAGAACTTTGGCTGTGACAATAGCGGGGGAATAAAGGAAGTTAAAAAGGTATCCTCTGGTCCATCCTAAAAGAACGTACTTACTCTATCCAGGCTTCAAAAGACTAGAGCTCTTAATAAAAAAAAAAAAAGCTCTTAAAGAGACAATAAGTAAAAGTAAAAGACATTCAAGGTAGACACAAAAAGTAATCAGTTATGTAGGAACAGTTCTCCGGCGCATTAACTATGCTCCTTTCCTCACTACTTTTTCTTACACATTACTCTTTGTGCTCCAATATCTGTATATTTAAACTGTTAACCTAAAACTGACTTCTGACAGGGTATTCTTACTCTAAAACAAATAAACCACATTCATTCTGCAAATATTTATTGATTACCTAATAAATGCAAGACATTCTGCTAGGCACCAGGAGATAAAAAGATGAATAAGACAACCATGTTCCTGACCCTAGAGAGTCTAGTAGGGGTTATTAGACTTTTGCAAATCAATATATAATGCAAGGCAGAATGTGAAAGTACAAAAAAGAAAGCCAGAAAGATACACTGGACTTTCATTTTTCAAAAAGGGGAACAGTTTACCGTCTTCTCAAATGAAGTATGAATTTTTTAAAAAAAATCACCTGCATTTAAAACGTATGGCAAAAAAAAAGGTGCTTATTTCAAAATATATCAATATGGCTTTCCCATGACTACTCTTGTTTAAATCTGTGTGTTCAGTCTATGATAAGGCACAAAACTCATAATTCATGGAAATATTTTTTATTTCATGGATCAGCCTATTAGAGACTTAGAAGGAGGTATAAAGGTAATAGAAATATTTGCTATGGAGCTAGAAAGTGGCACAAAGTAAAATGCATAATTTTCTTTTAAAAGGCAAAAGGAGAAACTAGTTTAAAATCCTTTCCATAAAGCCCAACGCCTGGAGTATAGAAAGCACTTAATAAATACTTATTGATTGATACAAAAATCATAATCTAAATAGGAAAAGGTAATCATCCAGGATTTTAACTCAGAGAATAACTTGGTTAAAACAAAGCATTTTAAAGTTGGAACTTTATGGACTTTGATAGTTGTATATATTATTAGAAAATTATCCAAAGGGCAATAGTGGAGGAATGATCACTTAAGATATTTAGTAGTAACTTGTGATAAATGTTGGAAAATATCTAAATTCTTTATCACAATATTCACAAATTGATGTTTAAAGAATGAACACAATATGTTAAAAGGAACACAACATGCTAAAGTTGATGTTTAAAGAATGAACACAATATGGTAAATGGATTTCAGAGTGAGATCTTACAAAGTGAAATATATAACTGATGCCTAAAATAAAGTTTCACCATGAATGTTCAGATAATTGATGTGAGTGTTTTTGTTGTTGCACTAATTGTCTGAATAATTATCTTCATTTTCCACTTTATTTAGGTAGTAATTACCTGGACTCAACCCTTATATTTTAGAATTCTCCTAGGCATTAGTTCATTTCTATGGAATTAAAGTTGATAATACCCTTTTTGTTGAATGGTGTTGTATTTTGCCGTTCACTGAACACTGAAATTCACGTATGTTTTAATTTTCAATTGTTGTGGCTTTTACTCTCTTGTCACAATTTTAAAGTTACTTATGTATAATTTTAGGCTATCTGATCAATTTTAACAAATGTTAATGAAAACTCCAAAGCATATAGTCTTGCAAAATTAATAATATTTAACATTTGTGTAATTTCAAAAAATACAATTCTCATTATCTGTCTATATTTCGATGAATTTCACTGGCAGTAGGTGGACCATTAAGAAGTTTTGAATGCATGAATACAATTTAATAGGCAGCACTCTAGGCTCTTTTGCAAGGCCAGATGAACTGTAGGGACTCTATACTGAACAGATTTTTTTTAATGTAATAGAATTTGAGCATGACATTAATGTGAAAAATTCTAAATCTTGTTCAAAAACTATTTTCCTTTGAGTTTTCAAAGTGAAAAACAATTCTACCAATGTTTTCCTTTTTGACTATATTGTGGAAACATAGATGATATTGTAAAATGCATATGCATTACATTGATTTTATTAAAAAGTTTTGAAATGATAAGGAATTTGATAATGTATCCTTGGAGAATTTACCATTTTCTCATTGGTGTTGCAATTTAGTAGTAAAAAGTACACTTAATGAATTGTTACTTAATTACTATATGCATCTAAGGGGGGGGGGAAGGAATGACTCTGATTGGATTCTTTTCCATGGCTGTATTATAAGGTTATTGCTTACTACAATTTTGCACCTTTTATAATATAATAAAGTATATTCTTTAAATGACTTATGTTTTGAGAGTTCAGCTGAGAGTCTTATCATGTGTAGTTAAAATCATGATCACCAATACAGATGTTATGATCAAAGACAACCCAAAGATTAGAGCTGGACATCTAAACTATCTATAATAGACCTATGGGATATATGACAGGTTACTAAGGAGAAAATTTCCAGTTTTCCTGAGCCCTCCCCCCTAAAAAAAAAAAAGAGAAGGTGGGTTTCATATACCACCTTAAAATGCAAAGACTTCATGACATAAAAAAACTGTCCGTACAATATAAAAACTTTTAAGTAATTAGGTGAATAATTCAACCATCAAAAAACTATTTGCATTAATCAACTGGATAACAGGCTGGAATTATCTGGTCTGGATTTTCCATTGCATTTTGTAGAGTGAAATGGGGGAAGGGGGGCAGAATAAAGATTGTGGCATCTCTCAGGAATTATCTGAAATGAACCAAACATTCATTCTCCAGAATGGTTTTGATAGTTAAGATTCCTTTGAACCTTATATATCTTACATGCGATTTTTATTTATTTTTATTATTTATATATATTGTTTTGAAGTATCAAATATGCAGCATCCTGAGCACAGGTCACTTAGTTCTCATGAGTAGGGCTCAACTGACCGACTGATAGTTGGGTAGTGGTAGGAGTCTTCAACGATGCCTAACTCTAGTGCCCCAAGAACATTTTGTGTCTTACTGATCCCGTGATTCTGAGCTTACTTGGAACATTACTGAAATCCTCAAGAGTGTGTGTGGGTGTGTGTGTGCGCGCGCACGTGCATGTATTTGTTCAGGAACAGAAAAACAGAGAAAGGATGACTAAGAAAGCAAAATTTATTAAAACCGTGAACGTGTGTCGGTGTCTGTCGCCACACTTGAATTGTTAACAGCATCAACTCTGTTGAGAGAGAGGGAGAGAGGGAGAGAGAGGAGGGGAGGGAGGGAGGGGGGGAGAGAGATCGAGGAGATCGAGAGAGAGAGAGAGAGAGAGAGAGAGAGAGAGAGAGAGAGAGAGAGAGAGAGAGAGAGAGAGAGAGAGAGAGAGAGAGAGAGAGAGAGAGAAAGAGAGAGAAAGTTGGTGGGAAATCTGTGATAGGTGGAAGATGCAACCTGAGGGTAAGGATGAGGGTGGAGCTAGGGGGGTGAGAGGAACTGAAGTTGGATTGGAAGATAATTTTGAAGGAACTAGATGTCACAAAAGCACTTTCATAGTTGTTTTTATAAGATATAATGAATAAGAATACCTTCCCCATCAGTTTTCCACATAGATTGCATCTTCACACATCCCGAAAGGACAAAGAATGAAACAAGAAAAAAATACCGTTGTTAGAGAAGGAAGAAAGGTGGAAATTGTAATGAGGACTCCGCAGCAAGGATTACGGTTAGAAATAATAGTTATTAGGGACATGCCTGCCCCGCAAATCTATGGGGAATAAAGTAGTAACTGCCCCGCACGAAATCAAGCCCGTAAGAGGTTCTGGGACTGGCTCAAACACAGAGCTTGGGAAAGAAGCAGTTTTATTGTCCTACCGCTCCCTTTGTTTCAACGCCCTCCTCCGGCAATGTAGGGCTAGTCTTTTCCTGCAGCCAGTCCAAGAGATCTTTAAATGCTGCTGCCTGCCGCCCAGGGTTGGTCCACAGTCTGCACAAAAGAGCACACGCTTTGGAGGCGGTCCCTCAGTTTCTAGTGCCCAGCTGTTAACTGAGACCAGACACGCTTCCACGTGTTGCTTAAACACGCCCTCTGTCAAAATCAGCTGCAACTTTTGACCACGCCCCGTTTGCAAGAGACTGCCAATCGAATCATCCCAACTTCTTGACAGGATCCTTCTCGGCTCAAGGCAGGGAGGGATGAAAACAGCCCTTTAAACCACATGGCGCTGCGGTGCCCGGGTCAGAACTCCGCCAGCACGTTTAGCAGGCCCCGGAGCTCCGCCTCTTCTCGCGAGAGTCAACTAATGCCCCGGGGTTTCTGTGTAGAAGATTCTGTTTCCGGTGCCGCTGTCAGTAGTTATGAGGTCGTCGCTGATGCTCCGAGCTGTTCGCTACCTGTGGGCACGTGGAGCCCTCCTTAGGCCCCCCAGCCGGCCCGTGAGCTCTGGCAGCCCTCAGCTGGAGGAGCTCTTCGCCAGCGGCGGGGCCATGAGGAGTTTCCTGGAACGCCTGGCGGGACCCGGGGTTCAGGGGCCGGAGTTGGCCATGGCGGCCCAGAGGCTGAGGGAGAAGGAGCAGGAACTGCGGGAGACGGAGCGGCTGCTGGAGGGTGAGGGCGCGGGAAGACAGGAGCGGCACGGCGGCGGGGGAGGGCCGGCCTGGGGCCCCAGAAAGGTTTCTAGGGGGATCATCTTTGTTACCTCCTTCGACCTGGCTTGAAACTGCTTGTTCTGGTGACTTGGAAGATTGGGGATGCCTTATGGCTCATTGTTGGCGCGAACTAGAGGTTAAAATCCTTTATCTGTGTCGTAGATTCCCCTCCTCCCTTTCATTTACACTTGTCAGTGGCATCTTAAAGTTCTTCGTTTACAAGTCCTTCATTTTATTTAAAAATACATTTACTAGTGCCTATTACCATTACATCATAGTAATTTTAGCCTTATTCGTATTGAACCCTCCCTTGGGGCAAGGAAGAACTAATTAAGCAAAACGTTAGACAAGATGATAGCGTCTGCCGTCATATATCGTATTTCAGAATAGTAGCCCCTCCCCCGCCACCCCGCCCCTTCATTTTATAGAAGAAGACACTGAAGCTCAGGAAGGTTGTCACTTGCTCAGGGTCTCACAGATAGTTCGTAACAAAGCCGAAATTAGAACTAAAGCTTCCTTACATAGTCTTTCCACCGAACTATGCTGACCCTGATCCATACTCTGGCCCTTCCCTGAACATTTTCTCATTCTAGACATTACCCATGTCATTCTTCTCTCTTAGAATTCCATCACCACCTCTGCCTATCAAAATACTAGAAACCTATAAGATGCGTAATTGAAATGCTTCCCCTGCTGTGAGCTTTTTACCTGGAGCCAGACACATTTTCTTTTTCCTCTGAACTTCTTTAGCACCATCGAGCTTATAGCTTGTAACTGTAATACACAATAGTATGTTATAAACCTAGAGGGCAGAGTTTTGCTATGTATGTCTTACTTTTGCTTTACCATTGCTTTTCATTTTGCAAAATGAGGGTCACCAGACTCTTGTCATCTTTCCAACTGACCACTACCAGTTCCCTATCCCTAGAGAAAACAAATTTGTTAACAGATGTACAACAAATGAAATCAGTGCAATTACTGGTACCGTGAAAAATTTTGACTTTTCCTCTGAAGAAGTATTTAAGAAGTGTAGCTTCATACTTTTTTTACTTTATTTTTCTTGGGGTTTTTGTGTGTGTTTACTTTTGCAAAATGGCTAATATAGGAATTTTTTTGCAGGTATAGTCAATATACTTCCTTACCTTCTCAATGGATGTGAAAGTGGAGAGAATTTGAAACTCAAAAATTTTTTAAAAATGAATGTTAAAATGTACATGTAGGTGGAAAATATTTAATGAAATAAGTAAAAATACTTTTTTTTTAAAAGGAAGTATGGCTTGATACACTGTTTTAAGTTGTCAGGTAAAGCAGATCTCAGATTATCTGTAAATTTTAGTTTCATTCCAACTCTTCTATTGCCTAGAGAATTCAGCAATGAAAATAAAATCACACTTTGAAGGGTGTTTTTAAATAATAAAAGCAGCTAGGCATGATTTTTGAGGGGATTACCTGTAGAGGTTGCTAATATTTAATCAATGTTCTCTAATATAGATTCCCTAAGCTTGAATATCTGTACAAGTATATTAGAAAGTTACTTTGTTATCTGCTGGAAAAGAAAAATTAATAAAAAATGTACATTTTTCCTACACAAAGTTTCAACTATTTTCTTGAAACTTATTACTTAGAATTAACTATGTAAATTCAAATCTTTGCTTTCCTAGATGAGAATGAAGACCTAAGGAAACTTGCAGAAAAGGAAATACTTTCTTGTCAGAAAGAATTAACTAAATTGAAGCAAAAGGTATTGTACTTTTGAAAAGTAAGTGATGAAGTAGCAAAAAACACTTTTTTCACTGCCTGTCCTAGAAAGGAAGTTTCATAACCATATGAATCACATGGATTAAATATTGTTAGTGATTCTGCTTTATAACTCTTTCCTGAAGTTTCGGAGATATTTAGAGGAATCTGTGGTTATATCAATGTTGAGGAAGTACCTTTAATAGTGGGAATTACATCCTATCCCTGTCTTATCCTGTGAGACTCTTGCCCATCTCTTGTGAATCCTACAGAGAGGTTCCACCCATTTGGGGGGATTTCCGTTATGTCTCTTGACATTGCATAGATACCAGTGAAGCAGATGTACAAGCTTTAAATGAAGCTAACAAATATTTAAGCATTGGGTATACAAAGAAAGACAAAAAGCAAACTGTCTACTCTCAAGGAGCTCAAGTCCTAATAGAGGAGACAACTACACAAATAAGTTATATACAAGATAAGGCTATACATAAGACAGTCTTAGAGGGAAGGCACTAATATTAAGGAGGACCAGGGGAGGTTTCTTTTTTTTTGCAGAAGATAGGACTTGAAGGAAACATTTTCACTGCATAACCTATTCACCTGCCTTTCACTTTTATAACTAAGACTATTACACTGGTTTTCCTTTATAATCCATGTGTTTATACATATTGCAACTTGTTCTCACCCACCATGTGCTTCTCTTGCCCTTTGGTTGACTCACAAATTTAATTCTTTAGAGACTGTATTCTCTGACTCTTAGCCATATAGCATCACCAGAAAAATATTGGTGTTACAAAGATGGGCCTTTATTTCATGGAGGAATTTGGGTATTAATGAAACCACTGTACAGTTTGCCAATGGTAATTCATCCCCCTTTCTTCTTCTTTTCAATTTTGGGTCCAATTTACTGTGTAACTGCAATGATCCTCCAAGGTGTGTGTACTAATGCATTAGCTCTGGGCTGTCCAACTGTATATTATAGTCTGGACAATAGACATTTTTTTTAAATAAATTTTTATTAGTATTAAAAAGAAGGAAAAGAAAATCTGCAAAACTAGCACATTTTTAAAAATCTGAAAAGAGATGCAGTGTTCCACACCCAGTGAACCCTTAACCCTGCAAAGGAGCTCAGAACCCTAAACCTAAGAGCCCTGGGAATAGCAGACTACTGTCCCTAGAACATAGAACTAAGTCCTCTGGCATCAAATCAAGTGCTCTTTCTCCTATGCCATACTGCTTCTCAGTGATTCTGTAATAATTTGCAGTTGTTTAACATCCTTAAATCTGTGTGTGTGTGTGTGTGTGTGTTTTTCTCAATAAAAATTTAGAACACGGGCTATGGTTTTTATTTCTTTTGTACAAAATGTAATGCTTTCTCCACAAAAAATACTTAATAAATGCTTGTCGACTGAATGGAAAAGGAGTTTGAACATACAGAAATAACATAAGTACCTATTTTTATTAGATATTACATTTTTAACATCAACACATTAGTAATAGATCATTTTAATTGTTACGAGTCATGCTGTATTGTTAATCATATCGAGATACATATCTGGAACAGCACTGGTAAATTTTAACACTTAAATTGTTCCTGTCTGCCAATTTTAAAAATATCTATCTTGAATATAAGGGTTGGCATTTTTGTTTTTACAGATAATCTTACTCTTGATTCCCTCAGAAGAAACAGATGAAAATGACCTAATCTTGGAATTAACTTCTGGAGTTGGGGGTCAGGAAGCCATGTTGTTTACTGCAGAGATGTTTGATATGTACCAGCGATATGCTACATATAAAAAATGGCATTTTGAAATACTGGAATATTTTCCCAGTGAAATAGGTCAGTAATACCATATCATTCACTTGGAATTTAGTAGGATGATTTCATTGGCCTAGTAAAGAACATGACTTGGAGCTATTTTGGGGTTCAAATCCTGTCTCTGAAACTAGCTGTGAGAGTGGCGAATCTCTCTTCTCCTGCGCCTGTTTGTTCACCTTTAGAATAAGAGTAATACTTATACCTACTTCACAGAGTTGTGAGGAGGGTCCTTTGTTTAAAGTGCTTTAAAAATGAGAATTTTTTCTTAAAGGATTTTGGAGAGAAGGAACAAAAATGTACACACAGATTATTCGCTGTTTATAAATTACAGAAAAATTATCAATATGCAGCACAATGATAAAACACAGGTCACTCCCACCTCCCCCCTCAAAAAAAGACAGGGAGCATGTTATTTATGTTTTTATGTCCAGCGCTCGCACCCACCCCTCCCTTCCCCCCTTCCTCCACACCCCCCCCCACCTAATATGGTGCATTGAACAAAATAACTTAACAGTCATTATGTCTGATGAAACATGATTCTTGTATTTAGGACATGTTGAAATAATATTACTGGTTAGCCGAGCAAACAGATTATAAACTAATAGTATCTACAAAATTTGAATGCTTACTTTCTTTTTGTTACCATGTAAATTATATTTCAAGGTGGTAGAAGTTATAGTAGTCTTTGTAAATGGCAGTAATGAATACAAATTGTGCTTCCTCTGTTTTATAAGGTGGCCTAAGACATGCATCTGCCAGCATTGGGGGACCAGAAGCTTATAGGCACATGAAGTTTGAAGGGGGTGTACATCGAGTACAACGAGTGCCAAAGACTGAAAAGCAAGGCCGGATGCACACCAGCACAATGACTGTAGCAGTATTGCCCCAGCCTACTGAAGTAAGCAGCAATATTTCCAGTTATTCTTGGAATCATTCTGTAGTTCCTTTTCTTATCATAGATTTAATTGGTTTTGAGAACCCATGATTTCACTTTGGGTTGTAGGGAAGGGGAAATGATAATTTACTTGTGCACCTCTTATCCTTATATAATTTGTGAATTATACACGTACTTTTCCTGAGATCCTTGTTGTAGCACCACTTTTTAAAAAAAATTTTATTAATTTATTTTGATTTATCAACAATCACTTCCATATGCTTTTGGGTTTAAAATTTTTCTCGACCTTCTTCCCACCCTCCCCAAGACGGTGTGTAGCACCACTTTTACTAAACTACCTTCCATGGGGTCCAAGGTAACCTAGCCTTTGTAGTGGATTCTGCTCTATTGCAAGTATACTATGACCAATTCTAGCATATTAACTATATAGATGGAATGCTACTTTAACACGTTAAAATTTTCACAATATGTCTAAAACCCATTAAAATAAAAACCTAATCCTGAAGGCCCAGAACAAATACATGCTTTTTTTTTATTGTTCACAGGTTGGACTGTATTTCCTGAAAATAACAAATTAGTTGAGGAGTGTTTCTAAGAGGGGATATAGTATAGGTTACTAAACAGTGATCACAGACTTAAGTGCTGAAAGGGACCTCAGAGGCCATTTAGGCCAGTGGTATCAAACTCAAATAGAAATGAGTTCCACTAAACCATACAGAAGGATCCCTGTGGGCTGCATAAATTGACTTAGAAAATAATACATTAACATTGTTTTATTGTTTTTATTTTCTTGTTAAATATTTTCCAGTTACATTTTAATCTGGTGAAGGCTACACTTGGGAGTGTTGTGGACTGCATGTTTGACACTTCTGGTGTAGTCCAGCCCTGTCATTTTATAGGTTAGAAATTGGATCCCAGACAAGCCTCAAGAATTCAACCAGTTCAATCCTTATTCATGTCATATGTTGAATTCTGAGATATTCCATAAAAATTATTTTAGCCGATAAGTTCAATTTAATCTCCTATCCTGAAGTAGATCCTTGCTGATTTCCAAGGAATCGATATTTTGAGGATAAAAAAAAATGTGGACAAAATTCTGAATGGCATTCTTTGTTACCTCTTTTTGATCCAAATAAGTATCTGTCCTCTTGACACCTATAAGAAGTTGTCGGATGCATTACAGGTTGATATCACTTTCAGCTTTATGCAAATAATCATACATAAACATATGTATGTATATGTGTGTGAAATGATTTTTAATTCTATTTTTTTTCTCATGTAGATTAACCTGGTAATCAATCGTAAAGATTTACGAATTGAAACTAAGCGAGCTAGTGGAGCTGGGGGTCAGCATGTAAACACTACTGACAGTGCTGTCCGAATAGTTCATCTCCCAACAGGTATTTCTTGATTTTCTAACATAGAAGTTGAAGGGACCTATAAAAGCTGAACTGAGTGTCATAATATAGTAATTTTCCCTAATGATTAAGTAGATCTCTAGTTATTGGTATAAAAAATTTATTGAAGAGCCTTTGAATAATTAAAGAACATGTGAACATATAAGACAGACATACTGTATATCACTTGGCTTTGAAACTTGTTCTGATGACAGAAACGCTTAGGGTCAGTACCATAGATAGCTGAGTTTAGGGGATTGCTCATCTCCAAATGCCTTATCCCTGTTATAAAAGACCTTAAATTCAGTCTCCATGATCTCTTTTAATGGGGTTTGAGGGCCCTGAACTAGTTTCTGAAGCTTTCGGCAGATGTCTGGAGCCAACTGAGAAATAAAATGCATATTTAAAACTGTGGTTCCTATAGGAGATTCAGGATCCAAGTCAGTATATTTTCTAGAGCCTCTCCCAGCCTATTCCTGAGGGCAGGAGGTCTCATCTGGTGCTTGTGTAATTTCTTTTAATTTATCATAGCTCACGCCTTATAGGAGGCAGGTGATCATATGGTCCCTTCTCTCCTGATCCACATCGTCAAGATAATCCCTAGAGGGATGGCAACTGCCCTGGGTGGATAATGGGAGGGGCTGGGGGTGGGGGGCAGGCTAATAGCTGTGGACCTGGCTGGATCATCACCATATTTCTGTGCATAGTCCCAAATTATCCTCTTTTCCTTGATGGAACAAGAGGTAGATATAATAAGATTGATGTTGCCCCAAATTGTAAGGAAATGGATCAGAATCCTTCTATGAATTTGGTGGGGTCCCCCGAGTAGCTGCCCAATTTCTCTTTAATTTGGCTAGGTCAGATGTTGAAAAAGGAACATGAACTCAGGTGCTCCCCCCCCCCCAACCCCGGACCAACTTTGCTTAGGAGTCCAACTGACATAAATAAGTCAGGCAATCAAGAAGTACTTGTTAAGGACTAGGTGCTAAGGATACAAAGAAAAAAATTAAAAGTATTCCCTGCCTCAAGGACCTTATATTCTACTGGGGGTGGCAACGTGTACATATGCAATTATATGTAAAATAAATGCAAGGTACATTTTGAACCAATGTTTAATTGTTCTAATATTTCCTTCACGCCGATTGTACCCAAATCAAATCCTATATTTGATTAATTAAACTATTAAGCTTGTAAATTTAACTGAAAACTATTAAACTTATTAGTCCTATTAAACATATTAGTTATGACCCTCCTAAGGAAAAAAACAAACAAACAAACAAATGCTTTATAAAGTTAATTTTTCAAATCTTCTAGCAGTGGCGGAATATGAGAAATTTAGGAAAGAACCTTACTACTGCTTCAGGATAGTGCTCACTGCCCCCCCATGGGGTTTGAGGAAGCAGTAACACTTTTTGATTACTTTCCCTCTCAGTTTTAGCTGTATATGACACAAAAGCTGCAACCCAACTTGCCTATTTATAAGCCCAGGTAATTGGATAGCCAGTGTCTACTTTTGGTGGGGTAGAAAACACCTTTATGGTCAAATATTTGAAAAGTGCAGAGTATACAAGATCCCATTGTCCTTAATCTTTGATTCTAAAACTGCATTTGATTCAATACAATACATTGCAGTCTTAGAGGCTCACTTCTAACAGTGTCTCCCATGCACATGTAGGTCATACAAAATGTTTTGATAAACAGAGATAAATGACAACGCAATGATTATTAATATCAGATTAGACCTAGAATGGGAAGACAAATGATTACCAAAGGTGTCTGTCACTTTATGGAGAAGGTACAGCACAAGTCCCAACTGAAGAGAAATTCCTCATAAAGGGTGAGTTCCTTCAGATGCTTATTTTAAGATTGTACTGATTGCGGTCTTGTGTTGTTTGTGCCAAACCAAAGAACTTTGCAGAGTCTTTAAAATACTATTAAAAATCATTCAAGAATTCAGCCTATTTACACAAAAATAGCAAGGTTATCTCATGTCCAAATTGTAATATGCAGTTGGCGGGGCATGTCTCTAATATTATACTTATCTAGGGAAAATAGTGCAAATGGGCAGTGAGTTGGGCCCAGAATTAAGAAAGAACAAAGTGGGCTAGATTGAATTTGGGAAAACGAACAGCACTTTGCTATTCTTTGAACAGGCTCCTCATCAAATAACTCCAGGCATTTTTTCTGGCTGTCTCCCATCCCTGGAACTCTATCCCTCATCTCCACCTCCTAACTTCCCTGGCTTACATCTTTATCGAGAAGCCTTTCTCAGTTCTCCTTCCTTCCCTAGGGATCATATCCAGTTTACCCTCTGGAGTCCCTTTTTCACATAGCTGTTTGCAGGAAGTCTTCAGGATTAAACTGACCCACTAGAAAGCAGGAACTGCTTTTTCCTTTCTTTGTATCCCCAGGGGTTAACACTTTGCCTAACAAATTGTATGTGCTTAATGAAGCTTGTTCACTGACTGACCTTACTACGAAGACTTTTTGGGGAGGAAATCAATGTGAATGGATAGCAATCTATACCTCTGGAAGGAAATTATCCATTTTGATGAGATCATGTATCCATGGAAGTAGACCTAGTACCCCTTACTTTTGAGATTCATTGTTAATACTGAACAACGCAACAAAGTTTTGAAAGATGGACCTCCAAAAGAAGATTGGGGGAAAATACATATCTTGTGTTAAATGATTTATGCTTATTGTTTGATAAATATCTAAAACGGGAACATTTATTCTGTGATTGGAACTTAAAAGGTGCTTTGTGAGCCTTTGAAAAACTCATGGTTTTGTAGTTTCATTTTTTACTAGGGCCCTCTTTTTTTTCTTATGAAATAGAAAAAGGAAGAGAAGGGAAAAAGGAGCATAAAACATGAAGAAGATTTCCTGTTAAAACTTTCATTCTCATGACACTATTCAGGTGTTGCTACTGAATGTCAGCAAGAGAGGTCTCAAATAAAAAATAAAGAAATTGCCATGAAAAAGTTACGGGCAAAACTATATAGCATGCAGCTGGAAGAAGAGACCAACAAACGATACAATGCTAGAAAGATTCAGGTAAAATTTATTTAATGAGATACTAAAACATAAAAAATGAAAACTTAAAAGCAATAAAAAAGGTATATTAACTCCATTTCAAACTGCTAATGTGTTTAATTTATATCTTCAGAGTATGAAAGTTATAGTTAAACAAAGGACTAGAAAGTTTTTTACATCCTTCCTAAGGGCATTTTTTAGTGCAACTGAATATACGTATCTTTAGCACTCATTGTCATGCTGGGTTCTAAGGGAGAGAAAAGGTTTAGATAAAGCAGTTCTAAAACTACAAGTAGTTTACAGTCTAGTAGGATGTGTGATAGGGCAGCTAGGTGGCACAGTGGATAGAGTGCCAGGCCTGCAGTCAGGAAGATTCATCTTCATGAGTTCAAATCTGGCCTCAGACACTTACTAGCTGTGTGACCTTGGGCAAGTCACTTAACCCTGTTTGCTTCAGTTTCCTCATCTATAAAATGATCTGCAGAAGGAAATGGCAAACCAGTATCTTTGCCAAGAAAACTCTAAATGGGTCATGAAGAGTTGGACACGAATGAAAATAACTGAACAGGTTGTAATGACAAGCAAATATAGTACTGTAGATAATATAATAGTACTACTAGATTAATAAATAAGTACACAAAGAATCTTTCTTAGTAGATATAGCTCCTAAATTTTATATCTCTCCCAAATTTATTTTTTTAATAATGTAACACAGGTATTCCTCTTAAGGCCCCACCACCTCAGTGCCTCATCAAGGTACCAAAGCCTTGATCACAAGTTCTTTGTTTTTACCAAGCTAGTAATTCTTCAAATTTAGATTGGTCAGGTGACAAACTAGTATCCAAGGACCAATGAAGTTGAGATTGGTTGCTAGATGATGATGATTTTTGGCTACAACTCCATTGGTAAAAAAAAAAAAAGTACCCATACATCAATGAATGCATAGATATTTTGAAGTACTCAGGTTTTTTTTTTTGTTTGTGTGTGTATATATGGGAGGAAGGAAGGGAGGAACGAGTTGTGCAGACTGGTTATTTAATTAGTTCAGCATCTGCCTGCAATTTATAATCTTACAGAAGTGTCTATGGTACTAAGAAGTGACTGCGTGGAGCCACATATCTAGCATATATTAGAAGCCTCTGATCCACCACATCATGCTATCTAAATACTGTTACAGGCATTAAATATTTTAATCTAGTTTATGTTGCAGCCCAAGGAATCAGATATGATTAAGTTAAATTGTATTTTATTTATTTCTTGTAAACTTACCTTTTGTTTTGTAGATTGGAACCAAAGGAAGATCAGAAAAAATAAGAACATACCATTTTCCACAAAATCGGGTTACAGATCACAGAATACGCAAATCACTGTATGACATCCAAAGTTTCATGCTAGGAGAATGTCTACTAGATGAACTTGTACAGTCATTAAAGGAATATGCTGATTATGAATCTATAACAGAAGTTATTTCAGAAAAATGTTAATTTGCCCCCAAAAATCTGTATTGTAGCTTAGCAGAATCAATTTCTGTTATGCCATCTTTAGTGTATGGCTAATCCTTTTTAAAATGCCTATTTGAACACTATAATCATTTATTCATTTATAAATATGTATTTGAACAGTAATGGAAGCCAGAGTAATTTGTGTTCCAGGGTTCTTAAATTGTTCTTCTTGTTAGTTATGTTGTCAAAAGATAGATACTTTTCCAGGCTTCTCACATCCTACTTCTCAAAAAATGCATTATGCATATGGTTGTAAATTTATTTGTTGTCCTAATAAATTATTTTCTTTTCGATTCAAATCAACAGATGTTAAATGCTTACTATGTGACAGTATTAAATAGACAGCTGGTTTAATATTGTTTTCTTTCCTGTTATTTTTTTCCCTTCATTGTAATCAAGTTAACATGTAAACCTTTCTGGTATAAACCACCTGTTTTATTTGTAGGATGTTATCATGCAGTGTAAAAATGTAAAAAATAACCCTAGTTTATAAAAGTGAGAAAAATTATGTGCTAATACAAATCGTCCTTAAATATGATTTTAACAGTACATTTTTAGATACCATTTCTGCCCAGGGAGTAGGTACAAGGGGCCTGCTCTTGGGAACAACTTTTCTTATCTTAAATATACCAGTATTATATTGGACCTTTGTACCTTCCTCCTTCAAACCTTCTGGGTCAGTTAATGCAGCCAGTGCATTTATTAAGCACTTACTATGTGCCAGGTTATAGGAATTTTAAAAAAAATTAAAGGCAAAAACAGTGCCTTCCCTCAAACTCACATTCGAAATGGGGTGACAGTGTGCAAATAACTCTGTACATGCAAGATACCTATGGTTTAAGTGGAAGGTAATCTCAATTACCCAAAATGACTCAGCACAAATAACTGATTGCACAATCCTTCATTATCATGGTGAAGTACCATAATGAGATCTATATTGCTATCTATCCTCAACTGCATCCTATTCTCTGCGGTCTCTGCCAAATCAATTGTAGTAAGCATTAATGGCTATAAATCAGGGAATTTAAACTAAGGAAACAAGTATCCTGTGGCCATGAGTATTATAAATTATAATTCTATGTTACCTTCATTATCATAAAAGTTGAATGATTTTAGTTAAGTCATAATCTCGTATATCCCTTAAGGAGACAAACCTCTAGACTCTAGAGGTAAACAAGTCAGTTTAAAATTAAACCATTTAGAGGGATCACCATGGACTGATTTGAGAGGGGTACGCTAGATTTGGAGTGAATGTACTAGAAAATGAGGCGACTGTACTAGATGGCTTCTAAGGTTTCCGACTATAAATCTGTGATCCTGTTATCTCTTCTTGGAAAGATCTACAGCTTATCAAATGGCCTTCCTAAAATGTGATGCCCAGAACTGAACACCAATTGACGGTTTAGAAGTTTCATTTTATTGAATTCAGGCTGATATTCTAGTCTGAGATATTTTGAGATCAGATGCCGATTCTCACCCAATGTTAGCTATCCCTCCCTCCCAAATTTGTGTCAACTGCCAATCTGATAAGCACATCAATTTGAAAGGTGCAGTTGAATCTGGGTTCTTAGGGTTATAAAAACCAGTTTAACATGAAACCATGAAGTGGACTTTCTTAAGGGAACTGGAAAAAAATGGTTCAGCTTTGATTTAGGGGATTAAGAAGGATGAACTGTAAAGGGGAGTTAATCACAAGGTTAGTGAAGAGTTGGCCTTTAACTAGTTGAAAGTTAAGATAGCACTGTAAGGTTTGCAACATGCTTTAAGTACATTATCTCATCTAATGCCATCTAGGAGTTGCAGCAAGAGAAGTCTAGGCTTTAAGCCAAATAATCTGGATTCATATACCTGTCTAATTATTTATTCTACGTGTAGTTTGTGCTAACGTTTCATTGCAATACCGTGAAAACAGTTTGTGCAAACAGCACAGTACTTACATATACAGCCCCTTTTGGGTGCCTTTACTGATTAATCCGTACGCTCATCATTTCTTTTCAGCACTCCTGTAGTATGTCTACTATCATTCATACCTTAAGGAAAGGCACTGTATGTTTAATAAATGCTTGTTGAATTGAATCAGATTGCACTTTAAAATGGTGGACTTGAAGTTCTGTATTATAGTGGACATTGTGACAGAGGGATGTCACATAACAGCGAATTTGTAAATGTAAATTCTAGGCAGGAATCACTGAAAACTCATTTCCACAATTTCCCAGGGGATGGCAGTGTGGTCAAATAGACAAGAGAACTAGACTTGGAAGCAGGATGGCCCAAAATTGATTACAGGCAAGTCACCTAATGTCTGTGAGCCTCAGGTTTCTCACACATGAAATGAGGATAAGTACCTCCTGCATAAGGCTGTTGTGAGGCTCAAATGACTGCCCCGACCTGCAGGGCCAGTATACGTGGGGGGTCGAGGAGGACCCTGGCTGAAGGGAATGGGTGAAAAGGAGGAGTGAGACCAAAAGGATGGTAGGCAAGGTCTAATTTTATTTTTGAGCATTACAAGCTTATATAGGGCAAAGCGGGGAGGGGCAAAAGAGGAAAATAGGCCTCCGGGACTTTCCAGGGGCGGTGTGGCAACATCTTGTCGGAACACGTTATGGTACAGTGTCCCGGAACAAGCTGCTTGGGGGTGTGGTGTTCTCACGGGGTTAGGGGCCCACTACCAGGTGCTGGCCTCCAACAAATGACATACTTTAAATTGCTACATAAGCATCAGTTACAATATCACAACCATTCAGCTCTTAATTCGGCAGTCAGGAGTCTCCTGTGTATTTCACAGTATGTCTGGGACACACCACAGTATAGTGAATCCATAAAATTCTTCCAATTCACTTCTAACTAGCAATATTAAACAAAGATAGTTATCTCTGTTTTCATCCATGCAATGTTTTGTTCTAAGAAGCTTTCCAACTTAACCATAGTGGTTGAATTTTGTACAAAACGGATAAGTATTTTTGTAGAAGTGGGCACATTTAGTCCATTTATATTGATTTTAGTCATATTTACTTTTGACAATCTATAAAAAGATTATTTTTCATGTAGAACAGGAACTCTTAACTGGGAGGTCCACTGACAAAAGTCTTTTAACTTCAGATCCACTATTCTTTCTACCATGCACACAGTAGATGGAAGTAAATGTTTTATGGATGTGTGACAGCTCTGGAAAGCCTTAAAGTAGGGACAAGTCTTAGAGCAAGGAGAGTTTGGCTGGAATGGAAGTGAAGTATCTAGAACAGACAGGTACAGTGGGACAAACTAATAAAGACTTTTTCTAGCATTTTTCTGTACATGTAGAGAATGTCACAATCCAGCCTCTACAGATGAGGACCTATCTAGTCCAACCTCTCACTGAGGTTGTCATTCCACTGAACTAAGTGCTGCCTATCATAATTAAAGCTAGGACATTATCAAAACTAGTAAAATAAATCCCAGGTAACAGCAGGGACAGTGGGGTGGGGGTGCCTGGGAAAGGCTCAACTAATAACTCTACAACTGTCAAAGGAATTGGATGGTTCCTCCCAGAACCTCCATTTAAGGCACCCAGGCCAGCCTTCCCTTCATTTTTCTCTAGACTGCTCCATCACACCCCAGTGCCCAATATCTTCTTCCTCTCCTCCTATGCTCTTTTCAACTTACTTTTATGTGTTACCTTCCCCCATTAGAATGTATGTTCCTAAAGGGCAGGAATCATCTTTCTCTGTGTTTGTATTCTCCTTGCTTGGCACAATGCCTAGCACATAAAGTTGTTGTTCAGTTGTGTCCAACTCTTCAAGACCCCATTTGGGGTTTTCTTGGCAAAGGTACTGGAGAGGTGGGCCATTTCTTTCTCCAGCTCATTTTACAGATGAGGAAACAGAGGCAAACAGGGTTAAGTGACAGGGTCACATAGTAGTAAGTGTCTGAGACCACATTTGAATTTAGGCCTTCCTGACTCCAGGCCCAGCACTCCATCCACTAGGACACCCAACTGCCGAGGGAAATAAAGAGGACTTAGAAAATGCTTATGGACTGAATGACACACAGCAAGCACTTATTAAAATACTTCTTTTCTTTCATTCATTTAATCACTATACAATACTGGCTCTAGCCTAATATTTGAACAGTTCCCTCCCAGTCTCCAGATCTCATCTCTTATCACTATGTGCACCCCAGTCAAATTAATCTGATTGAAGTCTCTGGCCACTCTAGATAACCAATTTCCTAGCTCTTACTTGGCCATTTCCCAACTTGGAATGCAGCCTCTTCCTAGTTTCTCTTTCCCTGAGAGAGAAACATCTTTTTTCCCCTTTAAAACAACTTAAAACAAACAGCCCCTTTAGGATGCTTAGGATGCTTTTACTGATTAATCCTTGGGTTCATTACTCTTTTATTCCACCTTCATTCAGCATTCCTATATTGTGCCTATTATAGTTCATATACCAGAGAAGGCAGCATGGTGCAGCATTAAGAGTGCCAGATTTGGAGCCAGAGGGTCTGGGTTTGAATCCTGGCTCTTTTACTTATTACTTATGTGACACTGGACAAATTAATTTATACCTCTAGACCTGAGGTTCCTAATCTGCAAAATGACATGATTAAACCAGATGACTTCAAGTGTTCTTTCCAAATCTAATTCTATGAAACGTTCCTAAGAATCAGGTTTGAAATCTTGACTCTGATCTTATTACTTGTGTGACCTGGGGCAAATTATTTAATTTCTCTGGCCTCTGTTTCCTCCTCTGGAAAATAAGTGGACTAGATGGATTCTGATATTCCTCCCAGTTCCAGAACTTTGATCCAATGATTTCTACCAACTGCTAGTACCCTCCCTTCCTAAACTACTTTGTACTTTCAATATTTACATATTTTTCATTTTAGTCATTGTCTCTCCAGTGACCTATACATAGTAGGCACTTAATAAATGCTTAATTGGGGGCAGCTAGGTGGCACAATGATAGAACACTGGCCCTGGAGTCAGGAGGACTTGAGTTCAAATCAGGCCTTAGACACATAACACTCACTAGCGGTGTGACTCTGGGCAAGTCACTTAACCCCAACTGCCTCATAAAAAAAATGCTTAAGCACATAAACCAATTCTCAAGTTGTTTTGAGTATGTGTCCTGTGTTCATAAACTTTAAATTTCTCAAGTCAAGGAGCCATGTTTTCTATTTCTCCTGTCTTATCTCCTACCTTCCAGCAAAGAGCTCTGCATAGAGGGTTTAATTAATCCATTCAATCAAAAGTACTTCTTAAGTGCCTACTATTGTCCTAGGCAACAGAACAGGAGCTGAGAACAAAGATAAAAATAAAGTACCCCCATCTTTATGGAGTTTACATTCTTTTAGAGCTCCTGGTCAACTAACTGATAAAGAAATAACAGCCTAGGAAAGACAGCTAAAAAGCACTCCTCGTTGCTCAGATAAATCCCATCTTCCCAAAGAAACCTTTCCAGGTCCTCCCTTAATGCTAGGGCCTTCCTTCTGAGATTACCTCCAACAGACCCTGAATGTAGCCTGTATTTATATAGTTGTTTGAATGTTGTTTCACCCATTTGGATGTGAGCTCCTTGAGGGCAGGGACTGTCTTTTGCCTTTCTTTGCATCTCCAGAGCTCAGCACAATGCCTGGCACATAGTAAGCACTTAATATACGCTTGTGGACTCCTAGGAGATTTCAATGGGCTCTGCCTGCAGGAATAGGTTACAGAGTAGACTTGTGCTTTCAGTGTTATGGGGAATTCCAGGATGAAGAAACTCCCTCTACCTTCTTTACAACTTGGAGTCTTAGAACTGTCTAGCACAAAGAGGGGCTAGGTAACTTGCCCAGGGTCACACAACCAGTATGTCAGAGGCAGGACCTGAATCCATGCCTTCCTAGTTCAGAGATCAGCTCTCTACTAACTACAACCATGCTGCCTCTCATTGCAGGAATAGCAACTAAAAACCTGTCAGCCACCAGAGTTTAGGGCAGGAGAAAATGGCTGGCACTCAACATTCCTGTACCAGATAAATTTTCTTCCAGGCTTCTGGCTCAAAATTAAAAAAATAAAAAAGTGCAAAAAACCCAATGATGCTCAGAAAATTGGGCCCCTCCATCTAGGTCTTATAACCTATCCCAAGACCTAGGGGCTGGCAACCAGGTTGTATTTTGGCTCTGGTACTTTTTTTTACTAGCTATATCATCTTAGGCAAGTTGACATCTGGGTCTCTTTTCTCATTCCCTGAAGATGGATTACATGATATCCTCATCTGTAGCGAGACTGAATTAGGTTACATTCTCTACATGCTAGGAAAAGTCTATCAGTTAGTCTCCCTGTCCCCTTCTGCTCTACACATCTTACCTCCATTCCAACAAAAATGACCTTGCTACCCCCTACCCTAAGCCTTCCTAAGCTCTCTCACAGCCATAAAACTAATTTACTTCCATCTACTAAGCATATGGTGGAAAGAACATTGGATCTCATATTAAAGATTTGAATCCTGGCTTTACTACTTAACTAGCAGTGTGATCCTGGGAACAGTATTAACCTCCAAGGGCCTCTGCATCCTTCCACTCCAACAATGTACATTGTCCATACCCTCAGTGACCAAGGAAATGGCATACACTAAAGTAAGGTGACCTAGAAGCAGCTAATTTGAGCAGTGGACAGAGCAAGCAATAGACCTGAAGTCAAGGAATACTGGAGTTCAAATATTTAGCACCTGTGTGACCTGGGCAAGTAAATGGCTCAATTTCTTCAACTATGAAATGGGGATAATAACAGCATCTACCTCCCAGGGTTGTTATGACCAAATAAGATATGAGTAGAATGCTTAGCACCGTGCCTGGCACATAGTAAGCACTATATATGGTAGCTATTATTATTATTATTATTAGCACTGAGAACACAAAATCATGGATAAGAGTACAGTAGTTTTCAAAATGGGGTGGATCCACTTTCACCAGTAAAATGGTCCACGATTTTCCACGGTCCCATCTTCCTAATTGGTTTTGAAAAGACGCCCCTGCAGTGTACAAATTTGGAGTTAAAGAAACAGCCTATTAAAGAAATAAAATCAAAGAGGTTCTTTGTAGAGTCCATTACGATTTTGCATAGAAATCCACACAACAGCAGAAAAAGAGACTCAAAACTTTAATTAGTTTCCGTTTCCCTCCAAATACACCCAGGCTGGCCCCGCCCCCCACCCCGTCAGATGTAGGAACCCTGGGCCCGCCACCCGCAAAGGCAGGCGTGGGGAGGAGCCCCAGGCTCTTTGGGCCCGAGTCCAACTCTAGGCGGGATCCCCGCCCTCTAGTTTGGCGGGGTTGACTGCGCGGGACTCCTAGGGCGGGGGCCAACCTGGTGAGATTGGGAACCGCCCCGCGCTGCCTCCTCCTCCCACCAGAAGAAGCGCGGGGGACCCAATGCGCACGCGCCAACCCGCCAACTCGCAAGACACCTGGCGCCTGCGTGGTGGGGGTTGGTGTGGGGAAGGGGCGGAGAGAATGGGAGAGGTAGGAGGAAAAGGAGAGGGAGATGGACGGAGGGGGGCGGGGAGGGGAGAAGGGAAAGGAGGAGGGGAGGTGTGCGAGTTTCGCAGAGAACCAGACTCAAAAAAGATTGACCGGAAACCCCGCTCTGCCGCTCACCGGAGTTACCACCTGCATAAGGAGAAACCCTCTGCCTACCCACTATGAATTCTGGAGCTGGAGCCGATGCCACCCGCAGACTGGGGCAGAAGCATGCAAAGACGCCTGATGCCATGAACTCCAAGTCGATCCTAGCGGAGGGGCGCGCGTGCTGTTTGGGCTGCGCGCCACGTGTGGTAGAGCCGCCCGCCTCTTATAAGCCCCTCCCCCTGGGCGCTTGGTTCCTGCATCTTTCCGGCGCTGCGGTAACAGTGCTCAAGAGATGGAGAGAGGCGGGGCGCTGTCGCCCTAGGCCCCGCCTCTTGCCGGTGGCCGCCGCCTATTTATTGGCCGGCGATGGAGGCTTCACCTCCTTCCGCCTCCCTATTGGCAGGCTGGTCAGACCGCCTGCCTCCATTGGGTCTCATGGATTTGGGCACCAAATTCAAAGATTTTAAAAGTACCAGCTGGCGCCTTTTGGAAGGTACTACTCTGGTGGAGCCGGTGTTTCAACTGGTTCCTGCTGGAGGAGTCTCTTCTACCTGAGCGTTGTTCCACTCCCAGCGCCTAGGTCTGGGCATGAGCCGCCACCGCAGCCGCTGCTCTTACTGCTCCTCACCTCTTTCGACTACATCCTCCTCCTGCTGCAGTAGCCCGGGCGCCGTTACGGCCGCAGAGTCCCCGCGCCCGACTGACAGTGAGTATCTCAGGAAAGAGGGCGCGATTCGGGGCGCGCGGTCCCCTCAGGGTGGGGGAGGGATGGATGGGGACGACCCCCTCTTCCCAGGGACCAGGCCGCGAGCCGGGCTTGGGGTGGTTGACATCCAAGGGAGTTTCTGGGCTGTGGAACTGGGTGGGGGAGGAGGGGGAGAAAGGGAGCCGGGGCTTGAGAGAGGATCGAATGGGGTTGGGGGGAATGAGACCTGAGAGACCCAAGGAAAGATAGCGGGCTTCTACCCCCTCCAAACTAGGCAGCCTCGCTTCCCTAGGGAAAAAGAGGAGCCTCGGTGTCTGTTTTCCCTCCGGCGGGATGGCAAGACTCGCCCCTGGAAGAGGCGCCAAATACCCCATCTCCCTTCCCCCTCCCGGGGCCTCCTCACCCCGACGGGGCGGACACCTCGGACCTGAAGCCGGCCCATGGGGGATCCAGGGACCCCGAGACCCTCGGTCCCCCAGAGCTCCCCGAGATGTCTTCCCTTCCGACCCAGGGCAGCTCCCCACAGCCAGGGCGCGGGAGATTGGACCCGCTTCCCGACCTTCTCCCGCCTCTCGCCCCACTCGGGGCCATCCCTGCGGGCCCGTCAGGCCGGGTCCTGTCCGCCCCTCAGGATTCTTGGGCCTCACTTCCCTCTCCCGCCAAATGCTCCCGGCGTTCGGGGCAGGGGCCTGAGGAAAGAGTTAAATTCCTCCCCCTCCCCCCTTCCCCTAGTAAAGTCAAGTGAGGGGTTTTATAAAAATTAAGTGAAACTTCTATTCTTAATTCCTCCCACCTTTATCACTGTTTAGCCTTTTCCATGGGAGGGAAATGCTTTATCTCTGCAAGCGTGTGTGAAGGTGGAAGAGTCAGGTTTCCCTCCTAATCCCAAACTGGGTTGGCCTCAGCCTGAAAGCACTAGAATAAATGCTATTTCTTACCCCTTTGTTGCTCTTCCCTTATTGGGGGATATCTCTATCCTTTTGGTTTTTTAAATTTTAACCATTTTACTTCAGAAATAACCAAAGGGAAAAGTGAATGGTTATGATAATGCAGTAATCAATATTCTGTGACGACTTTTCCCCAAAAGGAGGCTAGTCCTCTGAAGGAGGAAAATGACAGTACACTTGTATTTAAAATTAAATTTCAAGGAGGGAATCAATACTGTCCCTGTGTGATTCAGAGACTGAATAGTTAGTTTGAGGATGGATATTATTACCTTTCTTACTTATCACTGTTTTACAGAAGATGAGGCCTGAAACACAGTAGGCACTTAATATGAGTCTGTATTGATAGGTTGATTGGCAGTTGAGGTTGGCAAGGACAGAAAACATAGAGTGGGTTTTTTTAGAGGGTAGTTGGGTTGTTTTGTTGTTGTTGGGGTTTTTTTGGAGGGGTTTGTTTTTTTAACCTGGAAATGGTTTTGAAAGTGGAGCAAGTAGGGGGGCCTTGTGACTTCGATCATGGATGATATGGCAGCTACTGGCAGCTAGACCCCTGAGTCATGGAAAGACCATGCTCATAGCCAGTCACGTGGTGGTTATCTAAAGAAATTTTAAGAAATGTAAAACCTGAGAGCATTCCTCAGGGGTCTAGATTTTTTTGTAGACTGGTGTTTGAATTTGGTAAAGAGAGAATATTTTTCACAGTTTTAGCGTATAAGCTCAGTGTCAGATCTAACATAGAGCACCAGTGAAAGGTTTAATAAAATGAGAATGAGAAGGGAGTTACTGAAATGCTTATTGCTGTATGACACATTTTTGATACTATTAAATGTTTTTTTAAGGTAGTAATTCCCCAACATCTATTAGGTGCCAAGTATTTCCATTATACACTTTTATTCCATTATACACTATTATTACTGATAATAGAACTATTATGTGAGGGTCCTTTTGACTTTTAAGGTTTCTTAGGTGGGGAACCACAGTTTTATTGGATACATTGGTTAATGATGGTGAATGGTAGAAATTATGTATAAAATATGCAGGCTAGTTCTTTAAAAGTGACCGCAAGAAAAAGGTGAAGAAAATGATTAGACCACTGGAGGCAGAGTTGGCTTTCTCTCTCTCTCTCTCTCTCTCTCTCTCTCTTTTTTTTTTTTTGGAATGCTTTTGCTTCTCATAATCCAGTAGGGGGCGGAGGTTTGACATACATATAAAGCAGACTGTTTATGCTGCACCTAAAGTCTGAAGCAGGCTGTTATTTTCTCTTCTTTTGCAAAAAGTAAGATTAACTATACCAATAGGGAAATATTAAGGACACTTGGTTTTATATGTAAGGCGGTCTAATAGAGCTCCTCTAAAAGGCTAGTGCTAAACATATTCTCAGCTCAGCTACTTACTAGCCTTGTGACCTTGGACAAATCATTCAGTCTTATGAGCTAGAAGAGACCTATAAAAGCATTTATTCTATCTATTTACAGATTAGGAAACTGAGGTGAGTGAAATAACTTGCCTAAGGTGGCACATTGAGTTTGTTGCTGTGCCAGGGTAGAACCCAGATCTTCTAATTCTCAGTACTTTTTACTTTATATCTCTGAACTTCAGTTTTCTGTCCACAAAATAACAGGTCTACTTATTTTAAGGGACAATTTTTGGGGAAAAAAATGGTAATACATCAAAGTGCTTTGAAATAAGTAACATTTTATGTTCAGTAAAGTATCATGTGCAAGTATTAATATGAGATTAAGATGTAATATTTAATTTTGACCAATCTGAATTTAAGCAAAACTTAACTGAGTTATAGGAGTCAAGTGTCACAGAACTAAGGAAATGAATATTGAAGTGTATTCCTGTACTATACATTTTAAAATCAGATGCCAGGAAATAGTATAGATAGGGTAGGATTAGTCAATACTGCTCTTTACCCCCTTTTTGGATATGTTTGATCAGAAAGAGAAATGTCCCAGCTCCTGCCTTTATAAGACTACCATATTCAATTACTTTAATTTCCGGAGAATACATCTTAAGTGAAAAATACATCCTTCAAGCTTCCCCATTTCTGTACAGGGCACTGCCATCCTTACTGTCATCCAGATTAGCAACTTCTGAGTCATCCACCACTCTTCACTCTCCACTACTTAACAACCCCTAGAGATTCTCATTCTCTCTCTTTCTCCCTCCCCCTCTCCCTCTCTCCTACCCTTCACTCACTCCCCCTTTTCCTCTTTCTCTATCTCCATTTCTAGTTTGTCACATCTCTCCTTTATGTTTACACCTCCTACCTGGACCATTATGATGACCTCCTAATTGCTCTCCCTGCCTCCAGTCTCCCCTTTATCCAGTCCATCATCCATACCATTGCCAAATTAATATTCATAAAGCAAGTCTGGCCATGTCATCCCCAAACTCAAGTGCCACCTACTAAACAGATCTTTCCTGATCTCCCAGTTCTTAACATTTCTACTTCTTGAAGTTTCTTTGTGTGTACTTTTATTTACTTGTGTACATGTTTTATACATTTCCCCCAACTCCTTCCCACATTATAAGCTTCTTGTAAGTTAGCTCCCTGGGAGGGGTACTGTCTTTTTTCTTTGTATTCCTAGGGTCTATGTAGTCAGTCATAATTTATTGGGCACTTGTTCTGTACTAAGCACTGGGGATACAGAAAAGCAAAAGACAAGGCCAGATGTCCTCAAGGATATCACTCTGTACTAGGGGAAACAACAAGCAAACAAATATGTACAAACAGACTATATTCAGGCTAAGTAGGAAATAATTAGGATAAGGAAGGCACTAGGATTAAGAGAGGTTAGGAGGATGGGATTTTAGCTGAGACTTAAAGAAAGGCAGAGATGAGGAGACCATTCCAGGCATGAGGAGCAGCTAGAGACCATGCTTGGTGCCAAGAGTGTAGTGTCTTGTTTGTGAAAAGGTTAGGAGGCCACTGTCAATGAATCAAAGAGTACATGGTGGGGAGTAAGATGTAAGAAAACTGGAAAGGTAGGAGGGAGCTAGGAACTTGAACACCAAATAGCATTTTGTATTTGATCCTGGAGGCAATTGGGAGCTACTGGAGTTTATTGAGTTAAGGGAGTGATAGGGTCAGATTTGAGCTTTAGGAAAATTGGTAGGATGGATTGACAAGACTTAAAGCAAGCAGACCTACCAGCAGGTTATTGTAATTGTCCAGGTGTGAGATAATGAAGGCCTGCCACCAGAGTGGTGGTAGTGTTAAAGAATAGAAAGAGGCATATTCAAGAAGTCTTGTAAAGGTAAGATTGACAGGCTTTGGCAACAGCTTGGATATGGGGATTAGAAACAGTAAAGAGTTGTGAGGATAACATCTGGGTTGGAAGACTGAGGGACTGAGAGGGTGGACAAGAAAGCCCTTGCCAGTAATGAGAAAGATGAGAAGTGGTAGGGGAGAGTTTAGCAGGAAAGGTGATGAATTCTGTTTTGGACACTTCAGTTGTTGCCTCCATGGAGCTTACAGTCAAACTGAAGAATGAGATACACAGTTGACCATATAAAAATAACAAGGCTGTGTAAAAAAGAGCTGCTTGAGTTCCACTAAATGAAAGGTCTTTCATTACCTGTGCTGGATGATCTGGGAAGGCCTTCTGGAAGGAATGGCATTTGAATTGAGTTTTAAAATATATATAAGAATGCAAATGGCGGCGGGGAGGAGGATTCTAGGAAATGGGAACTATTTGAGTGAAAAGAGAAAAGGCATAGGAAAGTGAGTTATATGTTGTTGACACAAAGTACAACTGGGTCCTGATTAGTTCTGATAATGAATCTCTAAAGCGGTGCTATTTTTTTGAAATTCACCCTATTCTAAGTCATAATTGTATATAAAAGTGGTTTGTTGATTTCTGCCCAAAGGAAATATGCAGTGAAAATTTGAATAATGGTACCACTACATTGGGGATGTTATTTGCACTAATCAAGACCTAGCTGTAGTACTGTTTGTTTAGAGTGTGGAATATATGGAAGAGGGAGTATAGTTATCCCCCTATGCAGTAGGTAGCATTTAAAATCCTCTGTTTGGCTTTTTAAATCCTTCTCAATAGTACTCTTAATTCATTTGCTATCCCCTATACCTGGAATGCTCTCATTCCACACCTCCTTCTGGCTTTCCTTGAGTACTTAGCTCAAATCTCAACTCTTTAAGAGGCCTTTCTTTCTGTACCCCTATGTTTAATTAGACACATAATGAAAGTTAAAGAGACCTTATTAGTTAAGAGATAAGGCCAAATTTGTGGAAGGTCTTCAGTGTCCATCAGAGTTATTATTAGAATTATACTTGAGGCAGTATAGAGAGCCAGTAAAGATTTTTAATCACTGACAAAAGGAAAGGAAGGCACCTAACACATAAGTGAACCCTTTATGAGAGAACATTCAAGTCCTATAGGATATTCAGTCATGGGTTATTTTCTGTCTATATTTGTGGAGGAAGTATCTATGTCTATGGGATTACAAATCCATTGAACTCTGTCCCAGTAGATTGGTTTTGTGATGTTTAAAGAACTGATTTGCTAATTTACTGTACAAATTCAAAACTGTGGTTGAGGGCTAGAACACCTGAGGCTATCATAGTAATTTGGTTTGATTATTCAAGTACTGCCCAGGTATCCAACCCCTTGCTAGTAGCTCTTTTGTTCTGTTGTCCTTACCTCTACTTCCTGTATCTTGAATCACACCCAACCAGAACAAAAGAATTTGAAGAAGGAAAAAAGGAGTTGAAACCTGAGTTCCTAATACTTCTTACTTAATTCACTATCTACTTTAGAGAGTGCCTCAAGTTGAATTCTCTCTGCCCCAGTTGGTAGGATGGGAAGAAATCTCACTGAATGATACTTCTAGTATACTACCTAGTATACATAGATAGTACCTATGTTGAGGTTTAGAAGTGCTGGGACCCCAAAATCATGACATGTGGGTCCTGCCCCAATGAATTTGACCCAACCCCTCTACCAGCCAAAGACAAGGTTTATTAAAGATCCACCATGTTGGCCAGACTTTTAAGGAATTGGAACATTTATGAGCTATTGTCTAGATTATAAGAATCTGAGCTTCTTAATGGAGACAAGTTGGACCTTACATACAGAAAAGACTGTGGGAGGGATCTAGGGAGTGGCCAAGTAGTTTAGGGTGACTGGAGGAGGGATCTATGGAGGATCTGGATGGGAAGGGGCAGTAAGCTGGGTTGAACAAGATGCTGAGAACCTGGACCACGTGGCCGAGGGAGAATGGAGTCTGGATAGGATTAAGGGTGGGAAGTAACATGGGGAGATTGGGTGTTGCCACAGTGAAAAGCCAGTTAAATGGATGCAGCCTCAGGCAAATGCCAGAGATTTGGGAAAGTCCAGGAATTTTCCTTTTTGGGGTCCAGATCCCTTCCCCATCACCTAGGGTTAGGTATAGGAGTAGAGAAACTTGGGATATAAATTGTGAAAGTACAAGTAATAAGATTGAGCAAACTGATTCAATTTTCAACTAGCAGCAAAGATGCTCTCTCATGATCCAACTTGCTGAAATCTACAAGTTCAGAATGTATTCAGGCAGTAGTAGATCCTAGAAGAGGTCTGGTGAGAGTGAATGCTAAGTAAGGGACAGATCCTAAAGGGCTTTAAAAATCAACTCTTTAAATGGAGTTGGTTAGCATAATATCACTATATCCTGGATCTAGAGTTAGAAAGGACTTAAGAGACCATCCTGGAACCCAGGAATTTTACAAGTGAAGAAACAGTCTCTAGGAGGTTAAATGACTGCTCACAGTCACCCTGGTGGTAAGCATGAAAAGCAAGATTTGTACCCAGGTCTTCTAACTATAGAATCAGTGTTATTTTCACTGTATATTATACGTTCTTGACATATAATAAAAAGAAATGAGCTTTATTTTGCGAAATCTGCATTGATTATTTAGAAGGAAAACACAAGTCAGAATTCTTTGAAATAAAGATCATTAAGTTCCAAGTGTTATTTCTGAAGACATCTAATTATGAGAGACTGTTTGGCATAGTTGTCAATATATTATGATAGTCTCCATATGTTCAATACATAACTGTTCTACAAAGGCTAATTAGTAAACTATGTATTGGTCACCTATTTTGAGCTAAGTTTATTTTTTAAAATTAAGAGATTAAGAATGGGAAATCCCTTGTCTAGCATTCTCTGGAGGAGATAGTGATACTCTGGAATCCATGGATTAGTTCTGACCCTCATCTTCTGAATGAATGGTTTTGTGGTTTAAGTTAGAACCTTTGCTTTTTCTAACAACAAGATTTATTCAGCACCTGTTTTGTGCCCAACACTGTGCTAGGCCTGGGGAATACACAGTGATTGGTTGGAGCCAGATGTTCACTAAGGTCTTTTCTAATGTCATTTGATTCAATTGAATTTTGGGGGGAAGATCTTTCTATTAGAGTGCTCCTAACAAGACTGAAATTGTAAGGAAACAGGTACTTCTTCCTTGCAAACTGTCGTCAGAGCATTCTTCTAAACTAAAGCCCAGCTTGAATTGTAGCTCATTTGTAAGTTGGTCTTTCCACCACTGAGCCACCATTCTACCTTCACTGCCCTGCTCGGGGTTCTTTATACACAAAGCAGTGTCTGTGGGGAAGATAGATGCCAGCAATAGACATTCACCAGGAAGTGGTACCTGAGTTGATTGAGCCCTGAAAGAAGCCAGGAATTACATGATAACAGGTGAAAAGAAGCACATTCTAGGCAAAGTAAACCAATTTGACTGTATAATAGAGTTAGGAGACTAATGTACAGTAAGCCTGGAAAGGTAAGGCTAGTACCAGATTGTGATAACTTTAATAAGTATACTTATAAATATTTTCATTTTTATTCATTTTATCAGCTAACCACTGAAGAAATGATGGTGGCATTGTATCTGAGTTAGAAGTTTGCCTTGTAACAGTCTAATTGAAGATATGGTTTTCAGACACCCTATGGCTAAAAGCAAGGACTGCTTAATAAGCTTGCAGAATAGTAGAGGTCCCTACCATTAAGGAGCTTGTAGGCGACATGACGTGTAAAAGGTGTAATTAAGGTAATGAAAATAGTTATAGTCAGTAACTTGTGATCATTGTCATTTCCTTACAAGTTATACTTCTTGTGCATCATGCAGATGGCATTTGCATGGATACATACATACACACAAATACATAAAAGCCAACCTTTTCATTTTACAGATTGAGGAAACTGAGGCACAGAGGGTCTATGTAGCTAATAGTACAGAGTATAAATAAATGCCAATGGAATCTAACTGTATTTTTTGTTTATGAAGTAGTTTGATCTAATGTTTTATGTTTTTTTTGTAGGATACAAACAAGAGGATAAAGACAACAATCCTTACTATTCTGTTAAAATGAAATGTGATTTTAACTGTAACCATGTTAATTCTGAGCCTACATTTGCAAAGCCTGAAATTAGCAAAAAACTGGAATCTGGAACTCCTGAATATTTGGAAGATTTTTGTAAAGACTGTATTAAAGACGATAAAAATCTATCCTCCACTGGACCTCAGAATGTTAGTCCCAGGATTGTAGAACTGAAAACTGAAAACAGACCAGTGCACAACAAGGAAAATCAAGCACTGCAGAGGCTTGATGCTTCAAGTGAATCTGAAGAACTGGAGAGCAGTAGACTTTATGAGGACAGTGGCTACTCTTCATTCTCTCATCAAAGCAGTCCTGGTGAACAGGAATATAACAGCCTTCTATCGTCTGGGAATTTCATTGTCAGCCCCAAACCCTGCCATCTACAGAACGAAAGCACAGAACAGTTTCCAAATAAAAACTTGTTGCCAATCCTTCATTTTGAGGAAGTGGTTTGTTCAACTTTAAAAAAGAATGCCAAAAGAAATCCTAAAGTAGATTGGGAAACAGTAGAAAGAGTAGTTGCCAATGGAGATTTTGGACTACATAATGTAATCGGTAGAAAAATGGGCTTAGACAGACTGGATATTCTCAGTGAACTCTTCCAGAGGGGACTTAAACATATCTTGGCAAATATTCTAAAATGCCTCAGTGAGATGGACTTGATCAAGTAAGTATCCTTTTGCAAAGACATCTCATATGTGCTCTGTCTTGGCTGCAGCCAAGAGTGGAACTTTGGAATGATTGTTTTAGCTCGTGTCATTCTGGAGCTTAATCTGGATCCATGTTTCTGATATTTTGGAGAAGGGAAAGAAAGAGGGCTTCACCAGTAGGCCTTAGATCATGTCTGAGGACGTCTCTTCCAGAAGAAACCATATAGACTGTAGGGTACCCTCTTATTTTTTTAGTTATAGAGCCTTATACAAACTCCAAGATAGATTTGGTCTAAGATCTCTGTGACTATTATTTAAAGTCTCATGAAGCTAAACTCTTACCAGTTGTTTTATTATTTCGGTATTAGCTTTTATGAAAATTCTTTTAAAAATCTGATTTCATTGGCATAAGTATTCCTTTCACAGATACAGATTGTGGTTCCTACACTTTAGCTTATAGCCTTTATGAATTGCTATGGCCAAAAAAGAATTTGACATCTGGTTTTCAATCTTCTGGTAGTGAGCCTCTCAAAACGTAACTAAGTTGAGCTTCTTATCACATTTACAGAACATGAATGTCTTTCCAGATTAGTAGAATCTGGCACAGCTTGTGCATCACTGGCATAGCTTTTATGCTCACTTCCTGTAGAGTGGGACTTGAGCTGGGGATTTGGACATATTTAGTCCAAGTACCTAGCAGTTAATTGCAAAGTATATAGATATTCAGAAAAATGAAAACTATTTGTAAAAGTGGGATTAACTTTTTAGTGTCATTGTTTTGCTAGCTCTTATGAATATAACTATTGAAATTTATATATTTATTAGTGTGGCCAGAGTGAGTGCGACATGGAAGAAGATTCTGAAAGACAATAAAGGAGCTTTCCACTTATATAGTGCAGCAATGAAAAAAGCTACAGTAAGTTTTTACATTTAATTATTTCATTTTTGTTTATATTGCCTATTCCTCAAGATTATTGTAAATAGAAAAGTGATGTCATAGATAATTAGAAATCCTAAATAATCTTGAAATTCTTCAGCCTATATTTATTCTTCCAAACCTTTTTACCAATGTAAAGGTTGATGAAATTTAATTCCTAATGCTTTTCTTATAGTTATCAATTGGAATGACTGAAATGAGGAAGCAGGAGGGAAAAATAAAAAACAGGTTTCATAACCTTTGGACTAGTTAATCTTAGAGACAGTGGAGGAAAGGCTTTAGAGATATAGGAATTGGGTTGAAATCCTGCCTCAGTCACTTTACCACCTATGTGACCTTGAGTGATAAGTCTAAGCCTCAGTTTCTTAATCTGTGAAATGTAGGGGTTGGATGACTTATAAGGTCCCTTAAACTTCTTAAGTCCCTGAAAATCTAAAAGTCAATAATAATTTTTATTAGGTTTCTACTATGTGTCAAATACTATGTTAGAAGCAAGTAGAGTTTCATGGAATTTACATACCACTGGGGGGAATGTATTATGTGACCTATGATCCTAACACATGCTTGAGAGTTGACAGTAATCCCTCAAAAGGATTACATATCCTATATTCAATAAAGCATTATCAATGTATTCAAGGCAGCTACATAATAAAAACTTGTTAAGCCATTTCTGCCAATAATATAAGTTTGATTATATAACTGCATTTTTATGATGAAAATTTGAGGTGATTGATTGCAGCCTAAGCCTTTTGGTTGACTTTAATTGGATTGCTTAGCTTTTTAAAGATAGAAAATTTGGAACAAAAGATACATTCCCTGGGTAAGATCCTATAGGCCATTAAATTATTCCCTAGCTGGTAGCCATCTTGGGTTGTCAAAGCCATAATGAAGGATCGCTTAAGAAGGATGGATTGGCTAGTACTTCTGCCCTGTCTACATCCGAGATTTGAGCAGGAAGCAAATAAAAAGGATTAGAGAGAAAAGTTATTTGTGTAATATTTGCTTGCTAATTTTGAAATAGTTGGTGTATTTGTATAGTTGGTGTATTTGAATAATATCCTAGGTTAATTTTGAGAAATCTTTATTGCCTCTGGCTAAGTATATCATTTTCTCGGTGGGAAGGTATATATGCTGTTTCACTCTTTTTTCTAACTATTTCTCATAGGAAAATACTACCAAATTTTCAGCTTATGCTGCAACTAGAGAATATGTTCTAGTCAGGGCAGCATTAGCTTCTGTTCAGAAATCAACAGCCCAGGTTCCTAATGCATGCAAAAAAGGCTCAGCCCAGATTATCTGATCAAGGAGTTTCTACGTACAGCCGACACACTGAGTTTTCTGAGGTAATTCTTTTTTTAATTGATGTGTTAATAGTATGAAAATACAACACATGCATTCTAAAATCTATATTCAACTTTTAGGCCAAATTTTGCTTCAAAAATATTGGCTGTCATGATTTCTTGTTTTTATAGGTGATTTATTACTAAAATAGAGAGTCTGAAAGTACAAATCCATACTGAAACCCAAAGGTAGCTATTACCACTAGCAATTAGTTATTAGCAGCCACCTATTTAGAAAATGAGTTTATGGTATATTAGTGGATCTATGCTTATTTCATGATGTGATTACAGTCTCTGCTTTTACGAGTCACAGCCCCTCTGCTCTGCCTTTTCATCAGATGCATTTCTTATGTGTTTTTCCCTAAATTCTCCAATGGGATTTACCAAAATCCCTGGAGTCTTTTAGTGTTTGGAATGTATCTCAGGGTGCCAAGTATCATATTTAGAGCCAGAAGAGAACTTAAAGGCATTTAGTCCTATCTGTAAGTCAGTGTAATCGCTGGCCCCCAGTTTCTTAAGAGAAAATTGGAGTAAGTGACTTGGCTAATGTTCTTGTTTCCATATCTAGCATTCTTTGTAGAAAATTGTGCTATACCATGTGATGTAACATCTTATGTCCACTCCTAGGTATTTTCCATTGCATTTTAGGTTGTTTATTTTAATTCTTTGGAGGATGGTTTTTCATGATTCAAGGCTATTAGTATCACTGGGAGAATATTGATGTTAAACAAATGGTTGGAGAGGCAATAAGCAATATGAAATCAATCCTGTGCTTTTTCCGAGGTGAAATCCACTTTGCCTTTTTCATTTTAAGGGCCAGTTCATTGCCTATCCAAGATACAGTGTTGATAGAATTCAGTCAACAAATTGCTTTGTTTTTTCACGACTGGGTCCTACCTCACTCAGCTTGGAAGTGTAACAACCACTCAAAATCCCATTCTCAATACTGATTGCCATGGAAATTTTAACCTTCTCTGTTTTTCCAGTTTGCGTTGATTTGTCTGTCCTTAGGCAAGCCTTCCCCAAATTATTGTAGCCCAGTACTCCCAAACTCAACCCACCATCTTCAGCCTCTCCCAGCAGCAGGCATTATAGTCCTATGCTGCCACACACAGCTTCCACAAGCATTTTTAAAGTGCCCACTCTGGCAATACAAAGGGAAAAAAATGAAAACTTTTTTTCTTCTTTTAAAGGACTTATAATGGCTTATTCTGTATAGCTATGCTATTTTAAAAAATTCCTGTGTTGATTTTTTAACATGTGAATTTTTCTTTATAGGTTGCCAAGACCTTGAAAAAGAATGAAAGCCTAAGAGCCTGTATCCATTGCAACTCACCTGCAAAATATGATCCCTACTTGCAGAGGGCGACGTGCAACCGAGAAAGCTGTGGCTTTGATTTTTGTACAAAATGTTTTTGCAACTATCATATCACCAAAGACTGTTCAAATGAAAAGCCCCTAAAAGCAAACTCTACAGTGGGACCTCTTCCTGGTAGTAAGAAGAGCAAAAAGAATTTGCGGAGGTTATGATTTTTTGTTATATCAGTTGCAACTAGCAGACTGTAAAAGTTGTATTGGAAATGTTGCATTAGGTCACCATAATGTGGTTCTGCCCAGAAGTCTTTATTTTAAATTTAAAAAAAAAATGTTATTTTTTCAATTTGTGTGAAAATCAATTTAAAAAAAACTTCAGTGAATTTTTGGAACTTGGTAGCTTTGGCATTTTTTTTTTAATTCTACTGCATTTATTACCAAATGAGAATTCCAATACAAACATTCTGGATTACATTTTTAAAAGGCAGAGGAAATGGCCAGTTAAGATTGGAATAGGTTACAGTCAAAAAGAGCTTTATCTAGAATATCTTCATAAGTGTACTTTGGAGATTCATATCAAAAGAATGCAGTTTAGCTAAACTCTTTAAACATGCTATTCATTTTCTCCAGTTATTTTAATATAATTCCTAAGTTTAAAAATGTATTTTATATCCTCATGCCCCCTCTATTTTTTGAGGCACTTTTATTTGGCTTCCAAGTAAAAGTAACTACAATTGCAGTATCAGGAATCTGTCTATATGATTGTTTTTGTCCTTTTTCAATGTCTGTGAGTCTGAAATTCCCTACAAGTTATTTCCAAATGAAGAGGAGGAATGTCTGTTACTGTGATGTCTTATTTTCTTCTCTAAAATCTGTTTTTAAAACTTTTGTACATTTGTTATATATTTTTTCCATATTTTATATGTGCTTGTATAATAAAAATTAAATGTTCCATTTAAATATAGTTTGGTTGTTTATTTTGTAAATACTTAAACTGAATAATGGAAACTATGCTCTTTGTATAACACTAACACATCTACCCTCTCATCAGTACTACTTTTAAATGTTCTATAAAAAATCTTTTTTTTGTGGCAGACTCTGAATTGTCACTATCAACATTAATTGCTTAATTATTGCAAAGTATGATTTTTTTCTATTTACTAATATATATCAAAAATTTCCCCAACTATACTTAGTGCTGATAAAATAAAATCGCTGTATGGGTTAAATAGCTTAGCTTTGTTCAGGGACCAAAAATTTCCCTTGTATCTCTAATCAGCTCTATTGTGAATGTGACGCATTGGTAAAAGATGAGGATTGGCTGGTAGTATAGAAGGGGGTCATTAAGAATGGATTACTACTAAAAACTTGAATGTGAGAAATGATTAACTGCCACTACCCTTAAAGAAGTAGAAGTCTGTTAATTATATAAACAAAAATATTGTGCCTTTACCCTTTCACAAATTTAGAGATTCCTTGTGGTTGTTTGCTGTAGTTCCTTATTTGTACTAAATTTAGATCCTAAAACCCATAAACTCTTCAAGTTATACAGAGCCACAAGGTGGTGCTCTTGTGACACTTAAGGAGTGAACTCAGTAGTTTTATTTTTCTCTTACACAATGACATTTTATTTTATTGATCAAAAGTACATGGTCAGGCTAGAATGAATGTTTTTTTTGAGAAGATAATTGACTAGGTAATGTTTCTTTGTTATATTAAACACGTGATAGGGAAGGTCTGTGTCTCTGTGAATGGCATAGACTGTATGTTTCAAAAATGTGCAGAGATAAAAAACATGATAAATAGAATGAAAACGGAGGTTAATAACTAGGGAGGAAAAAACTACCTAGTGCTAATAAAATGAGCACATTTTATGCTATCCACAACTCATTGTCCCCAATCAAAATGTTCTTTTCCATAACAAATAAAAGACAATTCTTTTAGTATAGAAGTACTTAACTAGATATGGGGCATCTTTTTATTCAGAACTTAAGTACTGTCCATGTACAAATATATGCAAGGTATAATCTCAAAGACCACATCAGCTAGAATTATTAAATATAAGAGCTAGAAGCAATCCACAGAGATCACTTAGTCCAGTGCTCTCCTTTCATAGTTTCCATTTATATGGGACTTGAAAGTTTAATATTGTAGGTGAGCCTGGCACGTAGGTGCTTAATAAATGCTTGATGTTAGATTGATTACTAATGGATGAGTACTAATGGAATCAGAAGGGCCAGGTTGTGAAGAGCTTTAAATGCCAAACGTAAGTTTATATTCAGTCCTACAGGTAACAGAAAGCCACTGGATTTTGTTAAAGATTTTTTTTTTTTGATAGGGACAGCACTGGTACAGATTGTTTTGTATTGATTATGTAGTTGTACGTGTATATTTTGTCTCCCCTGATAAACTTAACAGATATCCTTGAATTTTTTATCTTTCCCTAGTGCCTAGAACAGTACCTGATACATAGTTGATGCTTAATAAATACTTGTTTATTGATTATTTATTTTCTGGCCCCCAGGATTCACTTATACCACTCTGTGTATATATGGCTCTTACTCCATGCTTATATTTGACCTACTTCTCTCTTTAGATAAGTGGATGTATTTTCAACTCTTTGTTTCATTGCACAATGCCACTATTCTACCTCCATCAGATAGATCAATGATTTTGTCTCCTGACAAGTACAATTTCTGTTTTCTTTTCCCTGTTTCCACTAGAGGGCACAGTAACTAGTTAATTTGGTGGGAATGGCATTGGTTTGGGCAAAAAATAGACCTTTGTTTTAGAAAAACCACTTTAGCAGCTCAGTAGATATGGTTATGTTCCTCCACTAGATGTCGCCCATTTGGATCAAATATTCAGAATGCCAAGAGTTAATTTTTGTTGAGAGTGTAAAAACTGGAATTCTCAGAAGAGTGTGCAACACCAACCAGCCCAGCACTATAATAATTTGCTTTAACAACACGCCACAGCCATGTACTCCAGCTGAGAGAACAATGTCAGTAGCCTGGAAATTCAGGTAATCACTATAAAATGTGATCTTTGAAGGTTAATGTTAGCTACTCCTCTAAAAGGTACTTCATATTCCCTGAAAAAAGTTTGGACTAATTCAAATTAGTCATACACTATAATGATGGAGAGATTTGACATAATTTTGTTTTTCCCCCCAATATAAATTGTACTTTTGACATTTCACTCTAAACACCACTACCTTAACAACTCTGAAGTAGGGCAGGACAAGTGTTAGTATCCCCAGCTTTCTTCCTTATTGGCTCCGTAATTTCATCCATTTGAGTTACTACCTCAACCTCTACAAATCACAATGCATTTTTGCCTTCTCTGTACAATTCTTATTTATGTCCTCCCATAAAATGTTCATAGAGGATCCTCCTCACCATGCTTGAAGCCTTCTTGATCTTGTTATATTTCTGGGTAAATAGGATAGCTCTGGGCTTTCTATTTTTCCCCCTCACTTGCTGTGGAAACATGAACTGTCCATATCCTTTTCCAATCATTCATTTCCTTAATATATTTTATGTAACTTTTTTCATGCAAGTTATTGATGATAATATTCCACAGCCTACTTACATCCAGGATGGATTGCTCTATGGCTCTTTAGATAACTCGTAATTTTGATTCTTCACAGAGATTGTAGTGGTTCTCATTTTGCTATCATAAAATATCACAAGAGCATATATTATTATTAAAAAGATAAGGTTTTGTGTCAAGAGAAATTTGGAATTGGCAAAAGCATTGCACAACATCCCAAATATAATCCAGTCTGCTCTCCTTTTCTATTGAGTCCACCTGTAGTATCCAAAATATATGTACTGAAAGTATTCTATCAATGGACTGCATATCCAATTAAACTTCCTAACCTGAGTAATGTTTTCTCTTTTACTTCCTTCCATCCTTCCTTCCTTCCTTTTCTGATGGTCCCTATCTCAACCAGAAATACAGTAGTGGCCACCCATGGCCCCAATCTCAGTGATGATCAAAAGCATGGGATTTTTGACCTGTTTCCAACCTGGGCTGGTTTGCCCCTTGTTGTGCAGCCTAGTTGCTTCCTGCTCTCTGGACTAGAACACTAAGTATCTGGGCTAAGAACTTTGAAGTTCAATTAATCCACCAGCCTCAGTCTCCTGAATTGGAAGGATTAGAGGTGTGTACCATCACATCTGGCTAATATGCATTCTTTATCCACTTGCTTTTTTACTATGATGTGGATTGCTCTGCCAATCTCTTTTGAGGGACCTCATTAAAAAAGGCCTCAGATTCATGCAAGGGAAGAAAATCTAAATGGGAATGTGAGAGTTGTATTTACATCTTTGGAGGGCTATTGCTTGGGAGAGAAATGACTCATTCTATCTGGACCCAGAGGGGAAAGCTAGATGTGATAGATAAACAAGTTTTATGTAACAGTTTAACAATGAGCAATATCCAAAAATGAAATGGACCACCTTAAGAAGTAATAGATTTCTGTGCCCTGGAAGTCTTCAAGCAAAATTTAGATGCCTATTTGTTGGGTATATTTTAGAGAGGATTCTTTTTATATATGAAATGGGCTAGCACTCCATTTAGGTTCCTTTCAAATCTAAAAATCTGTGATTCTGAGCACTCCACTATTCGTTTTCTTTTTTAAAATATAACTTTTGTCTGTTCTTCAAATTTTTTTTATTGTGGACTTAATAAAAAAAAAACTTATCATAGTTATTTGTATATCTTGGATACAAAGGAAGAAAAAAAAATAAAGACCAGTAATCCAAGTATGAAACTCTGGAATCAATGTAATAGAAAGGGAAATGATGAAGAGAATGAGTGAAAGAAAAAAAAATCAAGAAAAATGCAGAAAATTTTAAAATTATTAACAAAAGAAGTTGAAGGGTAATAGGAATGGTCATTTTAATTGATTATGTAAATGAGAAATAAAAAGGGGGAAAATTAGATAAAAAGAAGAAAGAAAAATTAATGTTAAGTGAAACTAGGAAAATGGGTGACACATGGGAAGGAAAGTTAAGGATGAAGAGAAGAAGGCCTGTGAGAATAAGGTTGACTTAAAATAGATTAAGTAAAAATAACTGAAGAGACAAAGCACTGTCTATAAATTTACAGAAGACAAACAAACAAAATCCTAACTGGTTGAAAAACTTCATATCTCCTACAAGGGGAAAAAAGTGTAGGCACTACTTTGCACATCATTTGATACATTAATACCTCACTGTTTTCTTTTCACATCCCCTGCCTTCTGTCATTTAATCAGCTGGGCTGGAGAAAAATAAAATGATCAGAGGATGCAAATTGAACCTCTTCCCCCCATAATGTATTTAAATACCTTACGTGTATTTTGCACTGATTGTGTATGTAGTTATACATGTGTATTTGGTCTCCCCTTATAAATTGCCAGATATCCTTGAATTTTTTTGTCTTTCCCTAGTGCCTAAAACAGTACCTGACAGGTGATTGTTGCTTAATAAATGCTTGATTAATCAAATAAATCGATTATCTTTTATTTATTTATTCTCTGTCCCCCAGGATTCATCCCATTATACCACTCTGTGTGTATACATGGCTCAAGAGTTTTGTATTTGACCCACTTCCCTCTTTAGATAAGTGGCTATGTTTTTCTCATCTTTGTATCATTATACTATTCTGTCTCCATCAAATGGTTTTGTCTCTTGACAAGTGCAATTTCTCTGTTTTCCCTATTTTCACCAGAGGCTAGAAAACATTAAAGGTTTCTTTCATAACAATAATGCTCTACTCTCAAATAAAGTAGTTACAATAGCAACATCCTGATGGGGCTTGTTGAGCCCCTTAAACTCTGTACCTGACTTGGAATTAAGTACAAGTTTAGGGAAATTAATCAATTCTCTGGGTCAAGTACTACGGTTGGAACCACTAAAAGGG